TGTGGGGCGGTGTGGTTGCGGTGTGGGGCGGTGTGGGTGCGGCGAGGTCTGGGCGAGGGAGTGGGGTGGGCACTCTCTGGCGGTGCTCACACGCCCCCTCGGAACCCCCAACCCCCCGCTCCCACCCCCGCTCTCGACCCGCCCCCGACCCCCTCCCCTCTCGCCCGCCGCCTCGCCTCGCACGTACAGCGCGCGCAGCGGAGGCGCGAGCAGGTGCAATGTGCGGCGCTCGTTCCAGCGCTGGGTGTGTTTCTGCTCGAGGAGGCGCTGCAGCGGGAGCGAGAGGGTGGTGAGCGACGCCAGCTGCGCCTGCAGCCCCTCCAGGAAGGCCCGCTTCTCCGCATTCCGCTCCGCCGCCGCCGTGCGCTCCGCCGCCCTCGCGTCCCGCTCGCCGCAAAGCGACTCGCGCTGCCTCCGCTCGAGCTCGAGGCGGTTGAGGTGGAACTGGTGCGGGTCGGCCGCCTTGGACGTGCCGCGCAGCTCCTCCGGCGCCGCCGCCGCGAATTCGCTCTCGGGCAGCAGCTCGATCCGCGGGCCCGCGTCCTGCCGAAAGTCGCGCAGGTGCGTGATCTCTCGCAGAAAGTGGTTCTTCTCGTACTGCAGATTCTGAAGCTTGAGCTCGGCGGCGTCGACCCCAGCGTTGGCCCGCTGCGTGCCCTCCTTATACTCCCCCACCAGCTCCCACACACGACGGTTGAGCTGCTTGAGCTCGAGCAACGCCAGCCCCGAGCCGGCGACCAGCTCGGCCGCGTCGCTCCCGCCGGCGGCGCCGTCCGCCTTTCTGGCCATCGCCGCGGCCAGCTTGCCGCGAAGCGTCTCTGTGAGAGTCTCGAGCCGCTCCAGCTCCGAACCGCCCTCGGGCGAGGGGTCGGAGCCGGGCGGCATGTTGTCTGCGATTTCTTCACTCGTCCACATCTCTGTGCGAGAGAGGGTACACAGGAGACACAGACAGGTCTGGATATTCGCACTAAAGTGCTCAATGGATGACGAGAGGCGCGAGCTCCAGAGGCCAGTCTTGTGGACTAGGCCACTCGCGCCCCTCCCGGCCATGCCGGTAGGAGCCGGGGCGGCGCTCGTATAGCAAGGCCCGTGGGGCACTCGCCACGAGGCTGCTCCCATATTGGCTCGGTGGGTCCACGTATGCTAGGCGGAGGCTGATACGTGGTTAGAGTGCCGCAGAGGTAGGGCTGGGAAGGCTCCTAGCGGCTCCCGATATCGTCGCGCAGTCCCTCGCGAATGCGTGCGCGCCTGCGCGAGTTGCTGCAGCAGGGCGCCTTCGGCACCGGGTCCCGCAGGTCGCCGATTGCGCGGTCGATCGCCGCGCGCCGCCGCTTGTCGCCCGTGCTAGGTCGGGGGGCGAAGCGCTCCCAGATCGACTGGAAGGAGCGGGACAGGTCGGCCGCGAGGTCCGGCCATTCGACGTGTGAGAAGGGCGTGCTGCCCATCTCAATGAGTAGCTCCCGATCCCCCCGGGACGGGAGATCAGCGAGGTTCGCCCCCGACGCGACGTATTCGAACCAGACGCTGATGTCGAGCGCCAGGCACAGGGTGTGGAAAATGTGGATGAGGCGCGCGCAGTCCGCGTCCTTGCAATCGCCCTTACCGAGACCGAACAGTGCGCCGGTGTTATCCACAAAGCAGATCACGTCCCTGCCGCGGAACTGGCCTGGTCGGGACAGGATCGCGACGAGCGGCGCCAGCGTCTCCAACTGCGTGATGTACTGCTCGCGCTTAGCCCATCCGGCGATGATACGGGCCGGGACTTCGATAGACAAGTCGCGCCAGCGAGACTCCGTATCAAGCGGGTCATATAGCGCGACACCGATCCGGGCCGGCTGTGCCGCCTTGGCCTCGTACATCGCGTCCGTGTAGAGAGCTATCGGCGGGCGCGAGTGGCGGTCGCCGCAAAAGTGAAACCTGCGCCGGGGGATGCGCGGCAGCAGGAAATAGAGGAAGATCAGTGCCTCCCTAACGACGGCCGCAGTGACGCTCTCGTCGAGGGCTCCGCTTTGTCCTCCCGCCCCGGTGGCACGGCGGAGGATCCCTATAGCGGCTCTGCCAATGCGCCCGGCGGTTGCTGATGAGCGGACGAACTCCAGCTTGCCGAAGAAGTGCCTCGCCTCGGCTGACGGTATGCCGTGCTCGAGGTACCGCTCTATGGAGTCAATCAGCTTTGCAATCCTCTCGGGCTTAGATTGCATGAACACTATGCCTTGCCGGAACTGAGAAAGGTCCGTGACAACGCCCAGGAACGGGTTAATCTCGCGGGGAGGAACATCCTTTAGGCCCTCCGCGAGCGGTACGCCAAGCCAGAGATGTAGCTGGCGCAGCACCACTTTGGCCGACGCCGCTGCCCAGTCAGGACCGCATATATCATAGTCGTCGAAGTATGCTCCACATGGGATGCCAAAGCATCGACGGGCCAGAGTGGCTATCAGATGGGAGTGCCTAGCGGGTGGCAACTGGGAGCCAGCATGCTCCGAACCGGTCGGCTCGGCTCGGCCAGCAGGCTCGGCCTCCGTACTCCCAGGCCACGAAGGCGCTGTGGGGTTCTCCTGGAATGCGCTCAGGGCGGCATCCATCTCGGTGTCAGGCAGGGCACGGCCTTCTGACACACTGGCGAGAGACACGGAGCTCTCGCCAACTTCTGCGGGCTCGGCCGGCTCGGCTCGGCCAGCAGGCTCGGCCTCCGTACTCCCAGGCCGCGAAGGCGCTGTGGGGACCTCACGGAATGCGCCCAGGGCGGCATCCATCCCCGTGTCAGACCTCTCTGGCAGAGCTGAAGCGAGGCCAGGAATGTCGGAGAATGCGAGCAGTGCTGCCTCCGACATTGGGCTGCGCGAGGCGCAGCACAATAGCGGCGCGCGGCGTGGAGCGCGCGCGCCGGCTGGCTGGGTTGTGCCAGCAGAAGAAAGATCGCTCGTGGCGCGGCGGCGAGGCTCGGGCTCGCTCGCGCGCACGAGAGACCGTCGCCCTTCGGCGAATGAAGTTAGAATGGATTACGTAAATCCATATTGGCACATCGATCGCTACCAGTAAAGAAAGTCGTGCCGGGCTAAAGCCCTTACTCGTAGTGTTGCTCTCGAAAAAGAATTTGAGGACCGGCCGCGTGCGAAAAAGATTTGTACCGGCACGGGCAGAGGAACGAGAGAAGAATATAGGGTGGATAAAGCGCCTGTTCACGGCATGGAGGGTGAGCCACACCGAACGTACCGAGCGAAGAGCCGAACGGAAGGAGGACGGGGAAGATGACTCCGAGGAGGACGAACCAGAGAGAGAGATTTTTAGCAATACCAAACAAATCTAACACTCACACGTCATTTGGGGCCTTGGAGCCCTGTTCACGCGCGCGCGAGACGTGCAGACAGGGTTGCCAGGTGAGAGCGAATGGCGCGGTTCACGCCTCGCACAACAGAGAGAGAGATGCGCTCTGCATGGTGGGACATAAAAGAACCAGTGGAAATTCAGTTGTCAGATGTCACGATGCATCCGAAGGGGACCCCAGCGCCGGCATCATCCGTAGAGGCACGAGTGTTCGAAGTGAGAGTGGACCTGAGCAACAACATGACCTGGAGGCAAATGATCGGAGTGGGAGTCAGAAATGTGGTCCTTGCGCGAGGGGAGCTCGATAGACTCGAGGGGCCAGGATATGCAGCAAGGAGGGCGGAGCTGCGCCGAAAGGCGAAAGAAGCCGAGAGAACAAGGGAACGGCAGGCGGCGGCGGCGCAGGACGAGGCAGAAGAGAATGACGCGACAGAGGAGGAAGTGACAAGGGAGAGAACGACGAGAGTGGGACGGCCGCGAGGTGGCATGAAGGTTGCAGCGAGAATCGGCGAGAGACTGCGAAAAGAGATAGGAAGAGGCAGACTCCCTAGGGTGGGCGACGGCTAGCGCATCACACTCCTCTCCTTAAAATCCCTGTGTGGTGGCGGCGTGCCGTCCTCCCATCCCTCCCTTGGGTTGTCTGTTTTCTTTCTTTTTTAGAATTGTACAGGCTACGAAATGAGACGATCCGGGGCGTTCTGGATATCTCCGAGAGGGTGGGCACGCGTGTGTCGTGACGGACTGCTCTGGTTTGGAGGCTCCAGCGAGTATTTGTGGAGAGCGCATCGAGATTCAATCGAGATTGCGGAGCTACGTCGAGGTCAAAACGTGCAGGCGTGAGGCCGCTGGTGCCTCCACCGTCCCTTGGAGACGACCCCACTGCCCTGGGGCGTCTTGATACGATCAAGGGCGAGCACACGGCGCCCCGGCGCGCGTGCCCACGAAACGGTGGCACAAGGGAGGGTTTTCACTCAAAAATCTCCCACCCCGCGCCCTGCTCGTGCGGGGGCGGGGAAATGCAAATGCCGACCGGGCGCCCAGGTGTGGGATCCGTTTAGCGTTTTGCCCCGTGTCGTATGGCTCGTGCACTTTTGATAATAACTAACAAGGAAGACTGGCTGCTGTGTGTTGGCGCGGCATCGGATCAATCGCTGTCATCGCTCAGAGCAGGCCCCGCCCGGGGCGCCGCCACCGCCTTCCCTTTGCCCTTTCCCACGCGCGGCGCCTCCTCCATCGAAGCGCCAGCTCCATGTAGCACCGCCTCCAGGTCAGTGCGGGCATCCGCGTGGAGGGCAACGACCTCTTCCACGAGCTCCAAGCCAGCGGCACATTCGCCGGTCGAGGTCTCGGCGGGCTCCTCGTCTTCGCCTCCGTCCACGCCCTCTTCCTCCTCGTCCTCGCCGCTATCGCCGCTGTCATCGGCTTCGCTGTCATCCTCGCCGCTGTCTGACGGCTCGTACTCGCCGTCTTCGCCATCGTCCTCCTCCTCGTCCTCCTCCTCGTCGGCCTGTAGCCCCGAGGACGAGGCGGCGATCCGCTGTCGTTTTGGACTCGCGCCGCGGGCCGGATCGCTCTCCTCCACAGTGCTCCCCAAGCCGTTGGCGCCGATCGCGACGCTTGCGGCCTCGTCGTTTTGCGCCTCAGCCGACATATACACCTCGTGGCTGGCTTGGTGCCGCGGGCGTGGCGCCCGCACTTTCCTTCTCTCATTTGGTTTCACAACGCGTTTGTGTAAGAGATAAGGCGTCCCGGTGTGAACGTGTTCCACCCCTCACCCGTGTGCGTGTCTCTCAATGAGAGAGGAGCCACCTCCCTTCCTCCTGTGTCCGTGTCTGTCCCGCGCACATTGTCATGGAAGGTGGAGCGCGCACATTGTAGCGACGTCATAGTTAGTCCTTTACCTCCTCCTGCGAAAGTTATTTAGGACCACCCCAGTTCCGGATATCGGCGAACGATTGGACGGTGCCACCAACTGAGCCAAATGGAGCCATGTAATGTAGGACCTCACTCCCAGAAGCTTGGAGCTTCAGGCCGCGACCACGTGGCTAGGTGGACACTAAAGTGCCATTTTGGCGCCAAATCTTGGCGCGAAATGACACGTGGCTTGGCGGGAGTGTGGTGTGTCTGCGCTGCTCGACAGCGCTGCTGTTGAGCGCCAGCTGCTGCTCCCTTCAGCCAGACGGCCGGGCCTGCGCAGCACGAGCGCTGGCCTTCCTCCTGCACCACAGGAGCGCGCCAAGGCGCGCGTCTGGGCAAGCAGTGCGTCTCATCGCGATGCGAGAGTCGACGCTGTGACGCCGCCACTCGCCGGCTAGAATGACAGTGGCATCATTCGAGTACGCGTCGAGCTGTGCGTACCAGCACTTGTATGCGAGCTCATTGTGTCCCTGAGCTGCTGTGGGGTGCGTGGGCTCAGCTGCGGAGCACGTACTGGGCGGCGGTAGGGGGGTGGTCCTAAATAACTTTCGCAGGAGGAGGTACTCTTTACGATTTCCGACATGGTTCCTTCGCGTGAGATCATCGACGACACTGCGGTCGTCAACGACGGCACGGCGGCCGTCAACCAGCGCACGACGAGCTACTGCGAGCCCGTCGTGGAGTCCACCGTCCGCTCGATACGGTCGGTGAACACCAAGGATGTCTCGGACGGCAAAGCGACGCCAACCGAGGACATCAAGGTGACTGGCAAGGCTGGAGACCTTGCACTCGGCACTGAGGCCGGCAATGAGACTGAGACCAACGGCACTGAGGCCAGCACTGAGACCAAGCTCAAGGGCGACTCCATCAACTCGATGACCAACGCCAACATCACCAGCATCGTCGACTTCGGAGGTGGCCCAGCAGCGGGCGAAAGAAGAATTTTCGAATCAAAGAGCAACCCAATGAGTCCTCGGAGAGGATACCCTGCGTGGGCCCGCGCGAGAAAAGGTGCGAGAAAAGAACTTTAGGACCAAACTCCCTCGCACAACACTAGCACGGGACTGGCGCGCACTGGCACTAACACAGGTACACACACAGCTATAGCGTGCGAAAAAAGAATTACCACTGGCACTAGGCGGTGGCGGAGGAGCGGCGGCGGCGAGACAAGCAGCTGGCGGAGCGAAAGGCGCTGGTGGCCAAGCGGACCGAGGCGAAGACCGAGCTCGAGCGGCGCGAAAAGGCCCGGCGCGAGGCCCTCGCCGCCGCGCAGCGCGACAGCGGTGCCGATGGCGACCGGGCGGGCGTGAGCGAGGCGGACATCGCAGAGGAGCAGGAGAAGATTCGGGCGTACGAGGCGGCCTTCCGCGAGATCAAGGAGGCCACGGGGGTGTCCGACGTGAGCGAGGTGATTGAGAAGTTCCTCACGCAGGAGACGACGCACAGGAACCTGGAGCAGATGACTGCCGAGGCACAGGCCGACATCGACAAGCTCACGGCCAAGAAACGCGAGGCGCACGAGCGCATGCAGCGGCTCAAGTACAGCGCCGAGGCGGGCGAGGAGCCGCCGCAAGTGGCGTCGCCCGAGCCTGCGGGCCGCACGCACGAGCGGCACCGGCACCGGCACGAGCGGCTGGCCAAGGTGCTCGTCGCGATCAAGGCGGGGGTCGAGCATCTCGCCGACCGTCTCGATGGGGTCGACATCGAGGAGGCGCGGCTGGCGCTCACAGAGGACAACATGGTGGAGGTGCTCCACCAGTGCGAGAAGAAGCTGCGGCGGGTGATTGACGCCATTCGAGAGGAGGAGGAGGCGATGGTGCGAGAGATGGGTCAGTCCACTCTCAAGGCGCGGCCGGACATGCCGTCGGAGCCGATGGCCGCCAATAATTGCCGCATTGGCGACGTGGATGGCGAGGACGTCGATTCGGAGGAGGAGTACGAGGAGGATCTGGAAGAGGAGGTATTTGACCGCGACGCTCTCAAAGAGCAGTCGCGAGGCATGCTCGACATGGCGAGCAAAAAGCGGACGAAGAAGAGGAGGGCCAACGGCAACTAGCGCGTATGGTGTCGGCGTCGCTGGTTTCTAGCTCGTTGGACGCATCAGCCTGGACGGCGAGCTGGATGGAGAGGAGGGCGGGAGATCTGTTATAAAGGGTGTTCATTATCAACCCCGATCCGCCGCACATCTCGTGCACTCCTTGAGCGGTCTCGCGCGCCGGCGCGCCCCCGTCTCAGCTCTCACTCTCAGCTCTCACCCCGGCGTGCAGGGCCGAGATAATAGGTTATAGCTTATTGCGCGCCGAGCGGGGGTCTCCGGTTTTTTTGCGTAATGCGAGAAATGTGAGTTGTGAGTGTCAGTGGTGTGTGATCTTATGCAGGGCATCTTATCGTTCACAGCGCCCCCCCAACAACAAGCAGCGGACATGCAGGGTACGGCTAACTAACATGCGCACGTCACACCAGGTTCGCCTCGAACAGATTCGCCACGGCTAACGCCACACGCGCGCCACATCACGCTCCCTTGCTCCGTGGCTGGTACTGGAAGAAGGAGAAGGCGGTGTTTTGGCGGAGCGAGGTCTGCATCGCCTCGTAGAGACGCAGCCCCTCCTCGCGGTACACCTGGATCGGGTCGGTGCCAGAGTACGCCTTGAGGCCCGCAAAGTCCTTGACGTACCCCATCGCCTTCATGTGCGCCTTCCAGAGCGTGTCCGTCTGCGTCAGCGCGAGGAAGCGGCCGGACTCGACCGCAAGACCCGGCCGGACGCTGTCCAGCTCGGCTGCCTTGGCGCGCAACGCCTCCTGCACCGCCGCATGCGCGCGCTCCTCGGCGCCGTCGCCCTCGAGGTCGGCGGCGGTGAGCGGCACCGCGGGGAAGAACTGCTGCAGCTTGGCGAGGGTCGCCTCTGCGCCCGACGCATCCAGGTTGCTCTTCAGGATGTCGGAGGCGGTGCCGGCCGCGTGGGCGGCGAGGGTGTCGAGCACCTCGTCGGCCGAGCCGCGCAGCACCGCGGCGCGGGTCCGGTAGGTGTCCTCCCTCTGGACGGCGAGCACCTGGGGGGGTGGGGGTGGTGGGGGTGGGGGCAGCGGGTGGGGGGGGGAGGGCGCAGCGCGGGGGGGGGGGGGGGGTTGCAGCGGCGCCTCGTCGAACTCGAAAAGCTTCTGGCGGAGCTCGTAGTAGTAGCGCTCGACCTTGGCCTGCGTCTCCTCCACCACCCGCTGCACCTGCCCCGACTCGAGCGGCTGGTCCTCGGAGATGCGCATGAAGTCGAGCAGCCCCTTGATCTTGTCGCCGCCGAAGAGGCGGAAGATGCGGTCCTCGAGCGAGAGGAAGAAGTGCGTCGAGCCCGGGTCGCCCTGCCGGCCCGCGCGGCCGCGCAGCTGACCGTCGATCCGGCGCGAGTCGTGCAAGTTCGTGCCGATGACGTGCAGCCCTCCCGCCTGCAGCACCCGCTCCTTCTCCGGCGCGAGCTCCTCGGCGAACTCTTCGCCGACCGCCTCGAGCGCCTCGCGCGCCTCGTCCTCGACCGACTCCTCGAACACCGCCGCCGATGAGGCCGCCACCGCGAGCAGCTCGTCCAGCGCCTAGGCGGAGAGGACCCACGCGACGCTCAGGGAAGCCTCCACGAAAGTGCCACGGCGAGCAGCCCTCGTCCGGCGCCGCGAGCTCCGCCCGCTCGTGACCCTCGGCGTCGTCGTCCGCCGCCGCCGCCGCGCGCGACTGGGCGAAGCGCGCCGCCGCGCGGCCGACAGCGGCCTCCGCCTCCTCCGACACAGCGCGCGGGAAGAAGCCGTCGCGAGGCGGCGTGACGCCGGACAGGCCGGCGGCGGCGGCGAAGGCGGTGCGCAGGTAGAGGCGGGCCATGAAGGCGGGGTTGCCGCCGAGCAGGATGTCGGTGCCGCGCCCAGCCATGTTTGTCGAGATAGTGACGGAGCCCTCGCGGCCGGCCTGGGCGACCACCTCCGCCTCGCGCTGCGCCGCCTCGGGCGCCGCGGAGAGGACCTGCGGGGGGGGGGGGGGAATCCGGAAAAGGGGGGGGGGGGAGGTGGAGGAGCAGGGGAGGAGGAGGGAGGGGGGAGCGGAGGAGGAGAGGTGGGGAGACGGGAGGAGACGGGAAGCGGAGGGGAGAGTGGGAGGAGGCGAGGCGAGGGTTGCGAGTCTCGCCTCGTGCTTGACGCCGAGCTCGGTCAGCTTGTCCGAGAAGACCTGAGACGCCTCGACCGACGTGGTCCCAACCAGAATCGGCCGGCCGCTCCTCCGCAGCGAGAGCAGCTCGGCGAGCGCCGCGTTGGACTTCCCGCGCGTCGTCTTGAAGACCTGCGGCCGCGGCTCCGGCCAAGCGCTCAGGAGCTAGCTGCCCGGCAGGGTCTAGAAAAGGGTCCGGGTTCGGGAGTCACAGAGTCTGGGATGTCGGAGCGCAGCGACGGGAGGACGGGCGGCACGTCGACCACGTCGAGGCCGTAGATGGTCGCGAACTCCTCTGCCTCGGAGAGGGCGGTGCCCGACATGGAGGAGAGCTTGCGGAAGCGGCGGAAGAGCGACTGGTAGGTGACAGACGCGACCACCTCCGTCTCCGGCTGCACCGTCAGCCCCTCCTTGGCCTCGACCGCCTGGTGCAGCCCGTCGCCCCACCGGCGCCCCTCCATCACGCGGCCGGAGAACTCGTCGATGATGACCGCCTCGCCGCCCTGCACGAGGTAGGACCGCTCCTTGACGAAGAGCTCCTTCGCCTTGAGGGCGTTCGACACGTACGACGCCCACGGGTTGGTCGGCTCGTACAGGTCGCCCACCGCGAGCGCCTGTGAACAGCTCACGCCGTGAAGAGGCGAAGTGCGCAGCGGTGGTCGCGCCTCCCGCCGCGAGAACCTTTTCGCAATCGCGCGTGCCCTTGTCGGTCAGCGAGACCGTCTGCTCCTTCTCGAAAACGTCGTAGTGAATCCCGCGCTCGAGCACCGCCGCCAGCTTGCTCGCCGCGCCTAGTCGGTGACCACACCGCCCTGTGCGAGCGAGGACAGCAGATGCACGCCGCCGCCCGCTCGCCGCGCCGAACTTGTCGACCGGAGCGTCCGTCTTGCCGGAGATGATGAGGGGCACGCGCGCCTGCAGATAGGGGGAGATAGGGGGAGATAGGAGGAGATGAGGAGCGGCACGCGCGCCCGGAGATGCAGCCGAGATGAGCCGAGAGGTAGCCGAAGTTCGTCTTGCCGGAGATGGCGAGCGGCGCGCGCGCCTCGTCGATCAGCACCGAGTCGCCCTCGTCAACAACGCAGTAGTTGAGCTCGCGCCGAAGCACCACCTGAGCCATGCAGCGGCTCCCCGCCCCCCGTGTGAGTGAGCAGTGGTGTAGCAGCAGCACAACCCCGCAGCGCGCGCGCCTCCTCCGCAGTCACGGCCAGGTTGTCGCGGAGATAGTCGAAGCCTACAGACAAAGCAATGCGGCCTCCGGAAACAAGAACTGTGACAAGGCGGGGTTGTCGCGGAGGCAGTCGAGGCCGAGCTCTGAGTTGGTCACATACGTCACGTCGCTCGCGTACGCCTCCCGCCGCGCCGCCGTGTCGGAGCCGGACTGGACGAGGCCGACACTCAGCCCGAGGAAGGCGTACACCTGCCGTGCGGTCGGGACGGGCCGTGAGCAGCAGGACGGCAGGAGGAGGAGGAGCGGAGGAGGCGGAGCAGCGCGCGCTCGAGGAGCAGAGTGGAGGAGCAGGGGCAGGGGGGGGGGGGGCGGACCTGGCCCATCCCCTCGGCGTCGCGCCGGGCGAGGTAGTCGTTGACCGTCACCACCATCGCGCCCTTCCCGCTTAGCGCGTTGAGGTACACCGCCCCAGTCGCCACCAAGGTCTTTCCCTCGCCGGTGCCCATCTGCGCCAGCTTGCCGTCGTTCAGCGCCATCGCGCCGACGAGCTGCACGTCGTAGTGGCGGAGGTCGAGCGTGCGCCAGGCAGCCTCGCGCACCACAGCGAACGCCTCCTCGAGCAGCTCCTCCTCCGTCTCGCCCGCCGCGAGCCGCTTCCGGAACTCGGCCGTCTTGGCGGCCAGCGCCTCGTCCTCGAGCGCCTCAATCTCGTCCTCGAGGTCGTTGATGCGAGCGACCCGCTCGGTGTACGCCATCACCGTCCGATCGTTTGCCGCCGTGAAGGCGGCCGTCTTTGGGTCACTTTTGCTGTCGCTCGCCTGCTCGCCGCCACCGCGGATGGCCTCGCTCACCTGGTCGAGCACGCCCATCGCCGCGCTCGCCGTGCGCGTGGGCGACGCCACGGCAGGACGCTGGTGCGTGCACACGCGCACGGCGGGTGCTAGCGGCAGGTAGGCGGTGGACCCGCCGACGAGCAGCGACGCCAGCGCGGCCAGCATTCTGCCTAGAGACGATTCAGTGAAAACGCAAGTACAGCAAAAGAATTCATTGGTGCAAGGAAAGAAAGAGAGGGGGGCTCGCGATGACGAGTGAACTACAGGTAGTGGGGAAGGCAGCCTCGATTGCCATACAGACATGGGTGCGAAACAACGACAAGACCAAGGCACGGGCAGAGGAACGAGAGAAGAATATAGGGTGGATAAAGCGCCTGTTCACGGCATGGAGGGTGAGCCACACCGGACGTACCGAGCGAAGAGCCGAGCGGAAGGAAGCCGGGGAAGATGACTCCGAGGAGGACGAACCAGTGGAAATCCAGTTGTCAGATGTCACGATGCATCCGAAGGGGACCCCAGCGCCGGCATCATCCGTAGAGGCAGGTGCCACTCCTCTACATGGACGTCAACCTTGGCCCTGGTACGGCGCTCGTCCCAGCCACCGTTCGCAACAAGGCCAAGCGTCACGCCTCCTTCTACGTCCTCTAGGCAAGACTGGCCGCATTGGCCTTCACGAGGACGACGACCCGCGGCAGCTCGCGCGCAGCTTTGCTCGCACGTACCAGCTCGATGCGATGATGCGCGAGCGGCTGCAGCAGCTCATCGAAAGGTACGAGTCGGGTTGCGGGGAGACGTTTACCGCGCAGCAAGAGACGCATGGGCTGCTCCCGATGGTAGGTACATGGACGAGGTTGTGCCGGGACTTGCGGCCCAGTGCAACGCCGCCCCGTCGACGAGCGACATTTCGTCGGAGGCGGTCGCCGAGGCGCCGTGAGCGTGAGTGCAGGTCGTCGTCACGGTTCGATGGCTGCGCGTACACGCGACGAGCGGCAGCTAAGAATTGACATTCTGTGTAGGCGAACAGAGGCAACAACTTCGCGTGCCGGCTGCTGCCTGTGGAAATTTGCCAACGGTGTTACGGAGCTGGAAGCTGGGAATAGCTGCGCGTTTAGCGCAGCGGTCTGGGGCCCCCTTTGAGCCTCTCGTTTAGCGCGGCCGTGGAGGTCTCAAATATGATCCAAAATGGTGTGCGGTGGTCCAAAATGGTGTGCCAATCTTCGTGGAGACATATATAGACAAAAAAGCGACTGTGACTGTTGCGCTGACCGCTGTGCCGAGACTGGGTGCGGGTGCGGGTCCGCGATCACGGCCGCGCCGCGCACGCTCCGAGCTGCTGCATCACCCATCCTCAGGCTCCACCGCGTCTGTCGGGCGAAGCAGCTCGAGAGCACGCTCCTCGTCTAGCGAGGGGCTTCCGGGTGCCTCGCCTCCGCTAGCACCGCTCTCTCCCCGCCCGCGAGCCAGCCGGGCGACACCAGCAAGCACCTGCAGGCGTCAGGCCCGGAGGTTTTCACGTGCAAGGCGGCGCCCAGGAGAGGCGCGGTCGGCGAACCTTGCTGCCCCACCACACGTTGAGCGAGTTGAGAGCGAGGTTGGCGGCCATAGTGACAAAGACAACGTGCGGTCGCAACCGAGGGTCGCCGGCGCGGAGGAGGGCGATGGAGTCGCTCCACCAAAACACCGACCCCGGCATGCCAAAGCCCCACCTGCGTGGCGGAGGCTTTGTGGGAGAAACGACTCTTCGGGACGTTCTGTGACGAGGCACGCACCGGATGATGAGGAAGGCGGCGGCAAAGCCCACGTTAGCGCAGCTGAAGGTGCGTGTGTGGGTTAAGCGACACGCAATAAGCTGCGAGCGGAGGTTGAGCAGAGGCGTCGAGGCCTCCCAGCAGAGGAAGAAGCAGGCAGCCCGCTGCTGGAAGGGCTGAAGCGCGTGCCAATAAATGAAGAGTCCCGCAGACGCGTGTAACACAAATGGCCAGCCCTGACAGGCGGCGGTGCAGAAGAACACGTCCCACACAAAGAAGGCCGCTGCGATGGCACAGGCCAGGCTGGCGCGGTCAGAAGTGCCGAAGGCCTCGTCGGCAGCCAGCGCATCGCCCGGCCAAAGATACTCTGGCAGCGCGACGAAAACTATCCCCGTCGCGAACAGAGAGCCCACCACGCGCCCGTGCCAGTCTCTCTGCTCTGACGGCGAGAGAGGCCTGTAGTGCGTGGCAAAAAGGCGCGGTGCAACGAGGATGGACGCCACGTGCAAGCCGCAGAAGAGCAACACGAACTTGCCGACGAGGCCGTGTATAGTGGAGTGTATAGTGGAGGAGACTGGTAGAGGTCGCTCCATGGTCCGGCAAGAGGAAAAGATATCTGGATCTATGTGTCTGCGTGTGTGTGCGATGGCGAAGAACTCGTCTCGTCACACGCCAAGGGCTTATGCTCTGTCGAGACGTGAGGCGCATGCGCCCAGGAGGGGAGGGGGCATGCGAGTTTGTTTGTTTTGTGGCATGCGTAACGACGCTGCTAGAGATGCCTTTCGGGGCCCAGAGATAAAACTTCTGATGCCATGCGTGACCTAGTAGTGTCCCCAGCTATGGGCGTGTCCACGTTGGAGCCAGGTGTGGTGTGGACGCGAGAATAGCTCCGCCGTTCATGGAGGCAACCGATGCGAGTCGACTGGTGTGTGTCGTCGCGTGGTTTTTCGTATCAAGAATACTCACTCACTCAATTCTTCTCTCAGCGATCGTCTAGGAATCCTAAGTGGCCGGCAATGCCATCTCTTCTGTGCCTAACTTGTAGAAAAACCTTGCAAAACTTGTTCTCGATGAGGTGGGGATCCGTGGTGAGCAGATTCCCAGATTCTCCAGATTCCCCCTCGAACCTAGCATGGTTGTGGCGGTCATCTGTCATCAGCGCCGAGGCCATGGCCGAGGCGGACCACTCGAGCATCGGGAGTGAGAGCGCGCATGGATTAAGCGAAGGTCTAGTGGCCCAGCACCGCGGCCTCCTTGCCAACGGAGTCTACCAGTAGTCTAAGGCGAGCGCACATAGCCGGAAGAAGGGGCCCGCGTATCTCGTTACCCTCCAGTTTTTCCGCGGTTTTTGTCGCACACACCACGCCATTTCTGTACAATTTACCTTAGAGAAGAATCACTAAGGTGTTGAAACACCCCGTTCCGGCTTCTCAATCTAGCTATTCTCTATCTCCAGTTTTGCTTCGGCGGCCTTCGCTGTGCTGGGCGCGGGTTCGGAGCCACGCCTGACGCGGCAGAGCCAAACACTGCTCCGATCGCTCGACGCGGCAGCTTTCCATCGCGGGCAGGCCGCCTGCGGGCGAGTCCCACTGCGGGAGAGGCTTCTGTGCCCAGCCCTCTGCACGCTGGCTTGTTGCCCGCTGCTGGTGTCGGCTGAATTGATCGCCTTTCTGGGTGTTGTGCATCTGCTGGCCGCCGCCGGGTCGCGTCGTGCCGATGAGCCTCCTCGCGCATGAGATCCCGTACGTCTACCTGCAGAGGATCCATGCGTAGCGCGAGGGGACTCCGACCCTCAATCTTCGCCGTGCTGCGTCCCTGCCGGTCAAAAGCAAACACCCGCTGTGGCCGCCGCTCGACCGCTCCCTTGGGGCCTGGAGCTGCAGCCTGGCTCGGGTCTCCTGCGCCGCCATCGCCACCCACGGCATTGACAGTCCTACTGGCTGCGCCGATACCTTGTTGTTGGACCTTATGACGTACGGTGACTGCGCACGTCATGTCCACCGGTGGCGACTGCGTCGTCCCTGAGGTGTCTTGCTCAGGTGAGTGTGCATTGTGGTGCTCATGCTGCGGGGCGCCGAGATTGAGCTCTAGCAGCTCTACTACACGCGATAGGTGGCGAGCCACGAGGAGAATGAATTGCCGCTCTGGATCCATTGCCACGGGCACGGGGGTAGCCATTTGGCGTGACGAGCAGCCTGGCGGAGCCAACGGAGGAGGACTGTCTCGTCCTTCGATTGGTCTCTTGGCGCCTGAGTTGAGTGCTCGAAACTTGTGAAGTCGGTAGTCTTCCGTCGTGATCAGGCCCTCCTTGTGCGCGCAGCGCAGCAAGCGGAGGCGCTCCATCATGAGCGGTCGGATGGGTCCACAACTTGGCCGCAACCCGCAAATCGCTCTTTTGGCGGGCGGGCTGCCCGAGATATGGGCGGCGACAACCACCGACCGGATTGGGGACTCAAACGCTCGGTAACGCAGCGTCGCGCGGCGTTGCTGGATTTGTCACGGCGCTGTTCTTTGTGATTCGCCTGGACGAGAAGAAGGGCGGCGTGGCCGTGTAGCGTGTTGCACCGCCAGACAGATGACTGACCGTTGCCGTGTCTGGTTGGAGAGAGAGAGAGAGGTCTGGTGACTTATAACGCGGTCTTCGCACGTTTGCAACTCTACCTGATTCCTGCAAACGGTGCGTCTCTCTACGTGTCGTCCTCACT